ACGAGGAGGTCTGGTTTGGCTGTAGGCCTGCCTGGGAGGGGGTGTGGGAGGTATTGCTCCCGGAGGATTGGTTCAGACAGGTTGCTCCTAGGGCTTCGGCCCCGAGGCCCACAAATCAGTGTTGATAGGGATAGGTTTTTGCTCTCCGGAGTTGTTTGTTGAAGTACTTCAGAATATCATCACCTTTTACATATCTCTGCTGGCGCCTGACACGATTGAGCCCCTAAAAATGCAAGTCAGGACGGCTGGTTCGTATTACAAGGTATGGTCTCACAAACTCAAGGGGAAAAAGATGGTTGTTTTCTTCAGGCTATGTCTCAAACTCAAGCTTCCACTTTAAGGGCTCTTGGCGCACGAATTTCGTCAACCCAACGGATACAGACGCCAGTTTATAAGGGATCAGACGGGCGGGTTCTGGGTCTAGGTAGATGATGGCGGGAATATTTTGGCGTACGACACGGGGAACTGTTCGCAGTAATGGCTAGAGTATGAAATTGCAGCAGACAAATTGAAAGGTCCCGTGCTGACGCCGCCTTGCCGTGCCGGGTCCCAACATCCTGTTCCACATATGTGTGCACTGTGCCTGTTCGGATACCTGCAGGGCAAGGTGGGAGCGTTTGCTTGTTCATATTTGGTTCCGGCCCAGATTAAAAACTTTCCCTTCTCATTATCGCATCTTCCCTCTTTGCCAGTACAAGCGCAGTGTATCCACCTTAAGATGGACGAAGATGATGGCCAGCCTTTGCAGGTTGCCAGCCCTCCTCTCGTAAGCCGCGTACATTTGGCTTCCAGCCTCCCTCCTTGTATAGCACTAACATGGTCAAGGAATTCCGTATCGGTGGCCAGCTTGTCTTTGCTCAGACTTCCAAGTTACTAGATCCGCGTCGTACCGTGTACCGCCTGCAGCTCAAACAGCCACTCTTTCTCCCATTAATCCAGTTTTTTGCCACTTGCTACCCTCGAATACGGACATACTACCCTGGATGGTTTCTCCCCCCGATAATCATTGTTAAAAACGAAAGGTGGGCTGGGAAGTCGAGTTCGATAGGGAGAAGCAGGTCTACGATGTCTTGAAACCGCTTCAGGGAACTGTCATCCCATATCTCTACGGCGAGGGAGTATATGATGGGTCATCGGCCTTGGTTCTATCATTCGTCCGTGGAAAGACTATCTACGAGCTCCTACGCGAGGGTAGATTACCCAAGGATAAGGACCTGGAAGCCCTACGCAACTGCCTTCAAGATGCTCTTCGAGCGCTAACGGTGTATGGAGTCGAGTATACTGACATGAAAACGGACAACTTCCTGCTCACAGACGATGGGCGAGCGACAGTTGTCGACCTTGAGCAGGCAGAGCTAAATAGAGCAAACGTCTGGGAAGGAAGTACCAACAACGCCAATGTTGATTACCTCATGTATCAATTAAGCGAGCCGCGCAGACTAGCACTTCGTCGATCCACTGGGCAAGGCCTGCTGCCCATCCCAGGCGCAGCTAAAGGCCAGCTCGTCCATTATCGCGGCTAAGTTGGCAGCGGCTGAGGCAAGCAGATATAGAACTTTATTTATCTATCTATTCTATCTACATTTGGTGGAATCGTTGTCTATGGCGAGACCCCCGCATGGGATTTGAGCCTATGGTACCCGACGGGTCCCTGGGAGCCAGAGACGCCGAACAATGCAAGAGATCCACGAGTTCCTCAAATCAGAAATCTGCATAGCCCAGGCCCGCCAGGAGGAATATGCTAATCGGAAACGCAAACCTGCCCGCAAGTACTACGTCGGCTAAGAGGTTTGGCTCGCGGCCCGCAATATCATGTCAGACAAGGGAAGCGTACGCATTTCACATTTTGATCGCCTACGCTAACATGTGTCGAAGAGCACTCCTAGACGCACGACTCCCTTTCACCATTATCGAAGGTTTCGCGATCTGAGTTAAATTTACGGAGGGACATTGGACCGAATCTGCGTTTACTAAGGGTCCTAACAGTTTACAAAGGCCATCAATACATTTAAGACTAACGTAACGGGCATGTACCCTGCGGAGGTTTGGCTCGCTATAGCAGTGATGGCGACTACCATATAACCAGCTTATTACTCCTCTAAATTACTCTCAAAAACTACATCTACAATCTCATTATTCAATAATTCCCCTACTTAACTACTGGTCTGGGGTGCGGCCACAGGCCTGAGGGTATGTGTGAGGTAGTGGGGCTCGCGGAGGATTCAGGGGTTCAGGGGTCATGTATAAAAGTAGCCTACTTCTCGCATTCTACTTTAGAGAGATTATCGACTTTTTATTCTTTAAATTTCGTGCCTTACACGCGTGCAGAAGGATACTAGCCCTCTATTCAGGCCAATCCGGTGCTTATTATATAGCTTGCGAGTCTATAGCGTCTTTTCTTTGTCCTACGTGAAGTGCGGCCTGCGAGCGAGTCGCTGTCACGAAGGTGTTTTATTCAGGGCCCAGTTGAGGGTATAGTTGTGGTATTGTGGTTTGTTGTGACCTTCCGGTAGGAGGGTCCGGTTGGGAGGCTCCGTGGGAGACTCGGAAGGAGGCTCACTTGGGAGATGTCCCTGTAGGGGGCTATCTGGGAGGTTCCAATATGCGGCTCACGATGCAGACACCGGAGGCGCACAATGGGGAGACTCTCGGGGAGAGTCTCTAGCGAAGGAGGATGCGGGGGGACTCTAACAAGCTGGTTTTACTATGGGAAAAACAGCTTGGGAGGGTCACTGGGCATGCTCAGCTGCCGTAGAAAAATAAGAAAAGTATAAATGCAAAGAAAACAAGATGCAAAAGAAAGGGTGTGACCTGTAATTGATGGTGAATTAAAGATGAGGAGCTCCATGATGAGCATCCCGAGGCAAGGCCTTTTAAACTACCAGAGTGAGAGTCCCAGACTAACGTGTGACCTTCCACCCGTGGCTCGGAGGGTCACAACAAAAGCTCCCTATAAAGCGGTGTCTAAATATAGCCGAAGCGGCGCTACTCCTCTCATACTCCATACCCTATTCTCCCAAAGGCATCGCTTTAATACCGTGACACTATAAGTACAATCAATGCGTACTATTATAGGGCTCTTAGGCCTATATATGGGACATAACTCTTAATAATTAATAAAGTGATTAGTTATACTATAGTTTAACTATCATTTACTTGTACGTCAGGAGTTAGTAGTTAAAAGTAGGGTAGGTAACTAAATATTACGCGGCTAGTAAAGGAATAGTTTTAATTATCTAAATATATATTCAAGCCTTTAGTAATAGCTTAAAGGCTATATGGCACGGCCTCGAGAGAGAAAGCGAGAGCAAGATGAGACAGCCCAGTGAGAATTTGAAAGTCGGAACCAATGCACAGCAAGCTTCGAGTCACATGCGGAAAAGCGGGGCGGTGGGACAAAAGGTGCACATGCTTGGAAAGCCCGAGTTTGAAAAAACCTTGATGGCATTGAACGTTTTAGAGGACATCAAGATCGACCTTACACGTGAGCAAACCTTAATTTACAGGTATATTCTCTCAGAGAAGCCGCTACCTTCATTCTGACAGTTATGTGTTGTGATAGACGCATTGAAGACGAGTTCCGCAAGCGGGGCCGTTGACGAACTCGCCCAGAACAAATCCTCTCTGCCTGCCAACTGGTTGCTCTATGTGCTACGTCTCCGCCAGGCCGTTTCACATCCGTTCCTGCTGGAGAAGTTGAAAAAAGTTGAGATTGACACCCCCTATATCGTGCAGATTGGGCGTTGGTGTGAAGAGAAGCTGAAGAACGTGATGGGCATGGGGTACGATGACATTCATGGAACATCGCTGGATGCCAGATTCGATTTCAAGCCGCATCTACTTCGGCTGGAGAAGCATCAGGAAGAAGACCACATTGGAAATGTCTGCAAGAGATGCGGATTAACACCTGATGATGGCTTCAACCCAAAGGCATGTCTATCTTTACACCAATATGCCAACAATATAGGGAATGGAAGTTTAATTAACAGAAAATCTTAGTGCGGGCATCATTTCTGTCGGGAATGTGTCGAGAGCCACATCTCGGACATGACGGAGGGCGTTCAGCAGGATCTTGATTGCCGTGTATGCAAGAAGCTCATTACGAACATCAAGGCGTCTCGCAAATCCAAACCAGAGGACCAAAAGAGCACCCCGATGAAAAAGAAGGCGATTCGCGGTGCATGGCGACGTGCTTCTGATCGCAAAGGTCGGGAATTGGGTGATGATGTGAATGGGATTCAGCCAGTCGGCCCATCAAAGGTCGAGTCTCTTTTTCTAGACGAAAGTGTAAAATCCGGTCTCGACAAGATTCAAGCACAGGACGACTTCACTGAAAAGGAGGAGATCAAAGTATTCGTATGTGATCTTGTTGCTTTTACCATTCTCCCCGGCAAATGTTTCACATTACTCGAAGCTACACCCTTCCCGTGATAGGACTCTGGCAAATATATCTAGGTTGCCTCGATTCAATGCAGCGGCCAAGCATTGAATCTTGTCTGTGCAAACCGAGTATTCATTTTGGATCTTTGGTGGAACTACGCCATCAAGCAACAGGCCTTTGGATGCGTGCATTGCATAGGCCAGCAGAACAGACCCGGCGAGCCCGTATCGTGGTGAGGAAGACCATTGATGAGCGAATGGCAAAACTACAGCACACCGAACTCGTCACGATTGATGCCGCCATCAAAGAACATAACCTTTCCAAGATGGCGCTTACGCCGGGCGAAATTGCTGGCTTGCTCGGTGGGGTTGTTCTAGATGAACACGGCAAGATTCAGAACATTGTTCCTGATTATGACGAGGAAGACAGCGACGAGCAAGGAAATCGCGATGTGGCGTGTCAGGCTCACCGATGACGAGAGGCTGGCTGCTAGCAAACTCTACACAAAACATTCGTTCTGTTCTTGCAAGTCCTTCTCTTCCTTTTCCACAATATCCAAATCCTCATCATCACTCGCTTTTCGGGCTTCTTATCTTGCTTGTTGTATTATTTTATCATAATGGCGGCATCGCACACAGATGCTGGCCGTTCTCTCGCTCAAGGAGACAGCACAACCACGCTCGCTCCATCAGTTCCACCCACCGCCATAAGCTCAGCCCAAAAGCTTAACCAACTGTTTGACAGCCCAAAAGAACCCAAGAAAATCACTGGTAGCATTGAGAAAACAACAGCCACTGCCGCCGCAGCCGCCGTTGAAGATAGAGCCCCGGACGGTGGATATGGCTGGGTCTGCACCTTCTGCAGCTTCATGATCCACGCCAACACATGGGGAGTAGGATCACCATGGGGAATATTTCTCGATCGCTACATATCCCAAGGTACTTTTGCGCGAGTGGGGAGGTTTGAGTACGCCATCATCGGAGGCCTGGCTATGGCTATGGCCCTCATCGTTGCGCCACTGGCAAATCGCTGCAAAATAGCCCTGGGAACTCGAGGGACGATAGTGCTAGGGTCCGTGATTGCATCCATTGGAGTTCATACTTCATCAACTGCATCCAAGGTTTGGCATTTGGTGCTATCGTATGGAGTTTGTTATGGGTTGGGGATGGGGATAGTGTACATTCCTGTAAGTTTTCTGAGCGCTCTGTCGAGATCGCCGTCGCTGACTGTGTGGTGACAGACCCTCTCCGTTGTCGGCCCCTGGTTTTCCATCCACCGGAGTCTAGCCATTGGCATTGCGACAGCCGGATCAGGCTTTGGCGGGCTGGGGTACAGCCTTCTCGCCGGCAAGCTCATTGCCACGTACGGAATTCCTTGGACCTGGCGCATTATGTCCTATATGATGTTCTTCTGCAACTTCTTCTGTGGCTTGCTTGTCAGAGAGAGCCCGGTAACAAAGTCACCTGTCAACAACCCTGTTGCGGCGAAGTCCTCATCCTTCAGCTTCCACATCTTCACCCGCCCGCAAGTGCTTCTCATTCTCATCTGGGGCTTCATGGTGGAACTCGGCTATGTGTCGCTGTTCTTCTCGCTTCCAAGCCACGCCACCTCCCTCGGCCTCGATCTCAATCAAGGGTCCATTGTCCAAGCCGTGCTGAGCCTCGGTATTGGAATTGGCCGCCCCTGCGTGGGCTGGGTAAGCGACAGGCAAGGCCGGATCAACACGGCACTGTTGATGACGCTCTTTTGCGGTTTAATCTCTCTTACTTTGTGGATCTATGCCCGATCGTATCCCCCGCTGTTGGTATTTGCATTCCTTGCTGGCATCTCATCGGGTACGTTTTGGAGCACTGCCAACCCCATCGTCACAGAAGTGGTGGGATTGAGGCAGTCCTCGGCCACGTATTCAGCGGTGTGCTTGGTGATGGCGCTGCCTGCTACTTTTGGGGAAGCTATCGCTCTGCAGTTCGTGGATGAGAGCAGGACAGATGACGCCAAGTTTTTGCCCTCGCAGGTGTATGTTGGGTGCACGTACTTTGTCGGGGCGGTGGCGTTGTTGATGTTGAGGGCGTGGAGGGTGTGGCAGTTGCAGAGAAACCTGGCGGTCGTGGAAGATGCCGAAGTAGCTGGGGTTGTGCCTGAGGAGAAGAGGGTGTATGGGTGGATGATGCCGAGGATGTGGATCAAGGTTGTGAAGGTATGATGTGACGGAGAGAATGAATCACGACGGTTATGAAGGGCGTTAATGGTTATGGCAATATGGATACTGAATTACTAATAAGGTGTTGTAGGATCGGTGGGAAGGTAGACAAAAGTTTCTATCGATAGCAGTAACGTTTATTCCTTTTGGACCATGTTCCCAACCTGCCACACATGCTCTGACGCCTGTCAATTGTTCAATAAAAGTTGTCCACGATGTGCACACCATGAGAAATGGTCACACACGCAACCCTAATAACACGAGTGAACAAAGAGCTATCATGACCAAGATAGCACGGCATCTACCGGCATGCAAGTGTATTATCGTTATTTATTATCGCTGTTTTGACATGTCCTCGGCAAAACTCCCAGCATCAGGTATCCTCCATAACAACATTGGCAGATCAACTACGTCAAGGGTATAAACTTCCAAAAAAAAAAACAAAAGCAAACAACTGTTCCTTCCCTCCCAAGTCTGTTTTTCATCAACTCTAATTTTTTTTATTAAACAACCCTGCCCACATCCTTCTCTCCCTTGCCAGGGACATACTCCTGGCTCCCCGTCCCGCTGGCATTGTCAGCATCATACGCCACTCTCAAGTCATCAATCTCGTCGCCAACCTCCATCCACTTGTCGCTGCAGGCGGGGATGGGGCTGAGCTTGCACAGACCCCAGTACACAAACGCTGAGACTCCGAATCCGCCAAAGAAGTTGACGTTGTATACATAAGTGGCGCCAATGGGGACTTCCGTGCCAACAGCTCCGGCAAAACCAACGACGTTGATGAGAATGCCCGCGATGTAGGCGGCGTAGGCGCGCCAGTGGAAGCCGTAGGTGAAGCGGTATGGTGAAGTGGGTCGGGCGTCGTAGAGCTCCTTGACGTCAAGGTAGCCCCTGCGGACAAAGTAATAGTCGGAAATCATGACGCCGGCGATGGAGGACAGGAACACCGAGTAGGCGGAGAGGTAGGTGGTGAACTGGTTGGAGTCGGTGAGGAGGGTGTAAGGGCACATGGCGAGACCGACAGCAGCGGCGATGTAACCACCGCGACGAATGTCCAACCAACGAGGCAGAAGGGCAGTCAAATCGGTACCGGCCGAGACGGAGTTGGCAGCGATGTTGGTGCCGAGCTGGGCGAGGGCAAAAGCGGTAGCAATTACAAAGACGCCGAAACGCCCACCAGAACCGCTGTCATCAATGAACTTTTCGAGGAGCTCAAGAGGGTCCCAGATGGGAGGACCGCCGTAGATGACTGTCGAGGAAGAGGAGACGATAATGCCGATGAATGAGGTGACAGCGAAACCAATAGGGATGGTGAAGAGCTGAGACCAGAGGGCGTCTTTGGGCTTGCCAGCAAAGCGGGAGAAATCGGGGTCGTTGACAATGAGAGTCGCAAAGTTGGCAATGGAGCTCATCACACCTTTCACGAACTCCCAGGCGAGTTTGGAGCCTTCCAAGCGCGCTGGCTGGCGCACGATATCACCGAGCCCTTTGGCGCGAACGACGGCCCAGACCAAGAAGGCGATACCCGCAACAGGGACGACATACGACTTGACGGTGAACAGATGGCGAATCTTGTGGACGGGGAACCAGATGGCCGGAAGCGAGCAGAGCCAGAAGATGAAGAAAGAAGCGTAATCGGCCGTGGTGGTACCGGAATTCTCAGGGAAGGTATCGGGGATGGCATTGCGGTCCTAGAAGCTGTCAGTTGGATGGATCCAGGCAACAGACGGCAGCTTTCCAACACTCACCCAAGATAGCCAGATTGCCCTGATCATGATGTAGACACACCTCCCTCCAATGTACGACTGGACACCATACCAGATACAAGCTGCGATGGTTGTTAGCCCCCGAAATGTGCCAAGTATGCGGTTCGCGAGGATCTCGTTGCTCACCCATGACAGCCCGGTTAAACACTGGCCACAGACTTCCCCAGATTCCGAACGAGGATCTGGCCACGACCGGAAACCCAATGTGATACTGTGCGCCAATGCGGCCCGTCAAGCAAATAAAGAAGCCAGAAATCGCATAACCAAGCCAGACACAAATCCACGACTGCCACCACGACAGACCGCCCACGATCATAGTACCGCTGATCATCCAGGTGTTGATGTTGAACGAATCGGCAATCCAGAAACCGACAAAGTTCCACGGACCCCATTGGCGTCGTTCGGGCTCAACCGGTTTGAGATCGTGGTTCGTCAACTGTGGTTGTGTCCGTGTCAGCTTGTCATTGCGACGGGACGAAGACGCGATAGAGGGGGCATGGATTCTTTCTGAAGGCCTAATCCGATATCCATGGATCACGGACAGCTACAGAAAGAGGACGAGCGCACGGTGTGTGAAGAGAGGAGGAGGTCCGCACCATTAGCTGTGCTGTTGTCAACCCGGGCTCCTGCTCGACAGCAATCTTGTCCGCGAAGCGCTTGAAGGCATTGCGTCTCCGCGGCGCCTCCGTAGTGAACGTTGTGTTCTCCATGGCTTCGATGGTATAGAGGGTTGACCGAGGGCTGTGGGGTTCGGTTCAAAAAATTTGCAAGGTCGAGAGGAGCGTCAAACAGGTTGAGCAGACAAGGGGTGTTCTAGCTCTCCTCTAGGATGACGCGCTGCTGCGACGGTGCTGCACGGGAGGCCGGGTCGGGGCTCTGTGGGGAGTTCGAATTGATCGACAAAGTTGAGTCGTCAATTTTGCAGAACACCCCAGGCCAAAAGTAGGGGACCTCTTTTGTACTTATGCAAGATCGAGGTTGAAGAACCGGTGCATTACCGGTGCCAGAGGCGGAGAAGAAGGGGAGTCTGGATAAGGGCTGTGGCGAGGTGATCCTGGACACCGGCAGACGAGTTATCTGCCATAGGGGCTTGGAGTTTCCAATACCTGCGTGTCACCGTCATGGAACAGCTGTTGGTTTCTTTGTGGCCGTAGTGGTTGACAATGTCATTCGATACTTATCTATGCCTAATTGGGTTTCTCGCCCCGCCGATCTCCAATTCTCAAAGACGGTGAGAATTGGTGTGGTATCGATATCGGCAACACCAAACTGGTGATGGCCCCTTCGGTTCCCCCACGCGTCAACCATGGCTGGGCTGGCTGCTGGACAGGGGGCTCTGAAAAGAGGTTTCGGTGGCATGCCAACATGGCTGTCGCCCAAGAAGTCTAGAGCAGAGCTGGCCGCAGGAGCTGTATCCCAGGCAAAATGCGCGCTCAAACCAAGGGTCTCGGCCAAACCGTCTGCAAGCCTTGCAGCTGCTTCTTGGAGGTTGGAAGAAAGTTGGCTTGCTTGCAGGTGGTCTGTGACCTTGAGAGGCGCTACGGCAGGTCGGGACCCCGCTGAAGGCTGTCCAGCCATTGGCCGCCCGCAGGGATGATCCCTTATCTTCGGAGAGCCGTTGACTTGGTGCACGGGAAAAATCTCACTTGGGCATCTTGGCCCTGCACCAAGATGGTCTATCGATAAGCGGGGATAAGATAACGGCCAATCGACCCCGCATCTCAGCGGATTCGAAAAGTTTTTACTTGATCCCATCGAGTCAAGCATGGCCGTCGTGAACAAAACCCCATGTTCCCAGGCCGCAAACCCTCATCCAATTGGGTTTAGGTGCATGTGTGGTACCAAGCAAAGAAGCTTTTCAGCCAGTACCTTATTCAGGGAACCTGGAAGATGGCTGCTTGATGTTTGTCCTCCAGCGGGCAGGCAGAGCCTTTGCTCTTTGTTCGGAGGTAAAAGCTTGAGTTGGACTATCTCAGCACGTGAAACTGTCTGTCCTCCCGCACTTGTTCGGTGAATGCCAAGTCCAAACAAGCCGCCGACAACATCAACTTTGAAGCTTGGGGTGCTTGGAGGGGTAAGCCACAATGTGCCACCTACAGTAGCTACCAGCCATCAACCTGCGCCTAGACCTCCCGCAATGCGGGGCCGCGATAACCGGAGATAAGTTGCCGTAGTCCCTGCTCTGTCGAACCACGCGAGGAAAACCAAGAGCGACCAAGGCCAAACATATCCATCTGTTTTAGTCCTATAGTTGACATCGAAAAGATGACAAAGTTACGAGTTTCCAATATGAAACCTTTCAGATGCTGTCTTGGCACATTTTCACATGGCATTTTGGGAAACCCACGTTTTGGAGAAACACTTCCCCCAGACCCCATACCAAGCACCGGGTTTGAGGAGGTTGGATGACCCCCACTCTCACTTTCACACACCATCCAACCTGCCGGTTGAGCAGACCACTGATCAACCACCACGGGACGATACAACTCAGCCTGCAGACAGGGTCCAAAAAGGTAAAAAAGAGCGCATCTGTATCTGCTGCGTGCCACAAAGCAACAGGGGCTCGAGAAGAGGTGCGCCCTGAGCTTGTCTGATGACGGGGTTGCCCCAGATCCCGGTGACGATTGAGGTATATCTGATTAGACAGGGTGCCATTCGTCGGGGTGACTGCCGTGGACGTTGCATTCACCCACGACCCTAATCTCAAGCTCGACCTAGCAGCTGGCTCTGGGTTCAATGACTTCGAAGCTGGCACCATGTAGGCTTATCCGTAGTTATCCACTTGGCTGGCAAGATACTTTTCACCTGAGAGCTAGCAGTTGCGGCAATTCAGCCTCACCAAACATTGGAGCCGCGGCTAGAGAGAATCAACGTGGAATTGCTCAATGTATTGTCAAACTGCCTTCAATGTGGAAGAAGAATGTCCGCCCCAGAGATCATGCCCACCTCCTCGCTTAAGCACATCTGATGCGTCTGATGCATTGCTAGATCCGAGCTACTATACTAGCTTCAACACCACATCGCCAGTGCCTTGAAGCCCCATCCGAGACGAGCCTACTCGTCAGAACTCTGGTGAGCTATTGGCAATGTCAGCACACGATACAGCACACATGGCAATGGCAACAACATTTGAGAACTTACCCCAATTTTCAAACGCTCGCAGGCCTCCAAAGTCTCTTGCCAACAAAAGCTGCGTAGCTCTCTTCAGCTCTCCCTGGGGAATATGGATCTCCCTCTTGACACCATGATCATGGTCAACGTATGTCATAACGTTGGGCTGAACGCATTTCCTCTCCGAGGTAGTGGCCACGTCCATGCTGGAGGATGGGTACCACTGGCCAGCGCAAGTGTCGTAGGGGCCAAGGTCCACACAGCATCCGAGTAATCCCTCCTGACTGAACGGATGTGTGATTTCACACCGGCCGTTGGCCTTGGTCTGGCACGAGTTCTGGAAGTAGCCAGCGACAGTGGAGCCTTTGGGACAGCCCTCGCAGTGGACAACACCGCACCAAGGATCCGAGGCCTGACAGCAAACGGACGCGGGGATATCGCGGCTGATTCGAGTTGGGTTAGATTGGTTGAGCGTCATCGATGATTCTGAGCGACATACCAGCTGATAGTGTCGGCACCATCCCAACAGTCACCTGAACGGTGAAAAAAGAGCCTCTCCGCGGCGCACCCAAGAATGGGAAGAAAAAGGAGGATTGTAAACAGCATGACTGTCGAACTTTGTGGTGATAATTGTGAGGAGGTTTGAGTGATGGGTTGAATCGAGGAAGCGGGAAAGGGAAGGGCGACTTTGACTTCCGGATCCAGAGGGTGAGCAAGGTAGGTAAGGTAGGTAGGTAGCAAAAAAACCACCTTGTGGCCTGGAATATATACTCGAAAAGGCAGTCGCGAGACCCGTACCTTGGATGCGGGTCAACAGTAAAACTTTGATTCACCAATGAAAATTCGATCCCGCCGTTCGAAGTAATTAGGAAGGCACGTTGAGACCACAATAACTCTGTTATCGGCGAGGGCGGTGAATCCCTTGTGTGATGCTCTTTCCGTTACCCATCCCTGCTTTGACAAAGACAAGGCAGAGGCTTTGCTATTGTATGGATATCAATGAGTTGAAATTAGCGGACTCTTTAAGATCGGCTTATCATATCTTCCGATGTGATGAAGACCTCGATCGAAGTTACTGGATATGTCCTTGGAAGCAAGCAGAAACAGGAAAGGCATGACAGAGATAGGGATTAATAAGTGGATATTGGTGTTTGTGACTGACATGTGATTCACACTCTGCAATAACCAAGGACCATACATATCACACACACATGGATATCTGGTAAATACTAAACATGCAACGAATTTACTCATCTCTGATAAGGTACCTTCTCGTGGAAAGACCAGGTATATCTTAATAACTTGATGATAATAATGTCGACATCTGTTCGGATCTAATCAATGTTACTCGTAGAATCAGTCACTAACCCTATTCTGAAACTTTTGCTATGCCCTTCCTGATGTCACTTACCCATTTGGGAGCCTATCAAATACGTGAAGAAACAGTGGTCTCTTGAGGGGTGTTCAGATTCTGCTGGCACTCCGCTACGATTTCTATTATCTTCAGATAGACAATCGCCGTACAGGATCTCACGCTCCCTACCGAATACCAATGTACATAGGTTGAATCGGAGCTACAGCGTTCTGGACACCAAAAGTATGAAGGTAAACAAAGTCCAGCCCCACTGTGGCTGCCCACCACCGAAGCCAACTGTCAAAGCTACCGGGCCTGAAAAATATCAAAGTTTTAAGCACATCTCTCACAAAAGTATATATATATCTGGTCTCATTGACATTTGCTTGCCTTTCTTTTATTCATCGCATTCAGCAATCCACTATCATACACAAACAAGATACACAGTTTGACAACAAAGTAAACACAATGCCCAGAATCACTTTTCCTCGCCGTCTCCTCTCGCTCCACATGCTGGATTTCCGCCCTCGAGCTTCCTATCAGCACCAGCGAAAAGATCTGTTTTCATGCCAGTGTGCCCAGCCCCAAAACCCCAATAGCGCATGATCCAGCCAGACCCCAACCGTCAGCACTACCGCATCAAAATAGGCCTCCTCACACTCGACACCCCCTCGCTAGAACATCACGAACCACAAATCTTAACCACCGCTGCAGCCGTCTTGCCCCCATCCTCCCCCGGTTACCCTGGTCC